ATGGTAAATGGACTGTTTTCTCATTCACCCAATCACACACACACATTCATACACCAGTGCAAGGTGCTGCCTGCCATTGGGAGCAACTTCAGGTTCAGTGTCTTGCCCAAGGACACTTTGACTGTGGAGGGGATCGAACCACTAACCTTACAAATCAGAGGACAACAGCTCTACCACCTGAGCCACAGCATGCCCCTTTTAAACTGTATCCAAGGCATTTATGCTTCAACAAATCAGCTAAAACGTAAATCTGTCCAAGCCAAGTTAAATCTGCCACTGTTCATACAATAGTTACCTCCCAGCATGAGTGGCTGCGTTCAACTGGTCAGTCTGAGCAAATCAGGAGACTTTAGTTGCTAATTAATCTTTTCCATGGCAGGAACGTCCCGACTCATTCGCCCTTAAAAATGGAAGAAAAAGTTAAAATATGATTGGTGTTGGAGCACCAGAAAGTTCCTGTAAGTGTATATAAATATTGATGTATCCATATTTGCTACTAAAAATACAATCTTCGGTCGACATTTCACCAGCTTTTGATGCTTCTAACATCAGTAGATTTTGACATGTATATGTAATATAATATGTATAAGTATGACAAGCCAAGGTTCCACTTCTTTGTGATTTTGCCAAAGTGGGGTTGTGGATTCATTGGTAGAAGCACAAAAATTATTGTCACATGTGCAAAGTTTCAAGCTGCTTCCATGTTTTCTTCATGTTAAAATTCAACAACATATGAGGCCTTTTCCGAAATACAGAATGATACACTTGAGTGACAACACATAAATACCCACGTCTGAAAACATGTGAAGTTCAAAAAATGTAGCTGCAGAGTGCGTAACCTCTAAACACAAACTGAATTCTGTCTGAACTGACACAAAGTGACCTCGTAGCGCATTACAGAGAAGCTTCGGTTGTGGTGCTAAAATGCAGAGAGATCTACAGCATCTGCATGACTGCAAGCATGAAACGAACTCAAATCATGACTTGAGTCAAAAAAAAACCAAAAAACACGTCAAGAACTCACCCACAGAACAGGTGGACACAAATGCTGGACACAGACGGGTTCAGGCACAAAGGCGGGTTTATTACAAGGCAAGGTTAGGTACACAGGAGATCCGTCAGACAGGCAGAGGTATCCAAAAGCGAGAGGCGAAAGGCAAGGTCAAAAGCAGAAATGAGGTCGTACACAAAACAGGCTGTGATTATAGCTGTGAAGAACGATGGGACAAGGACCGTGAAGTCACACAGGGTAACATACACGAGGTAATGAGGGAAGATGGGAAACAGGTGAGGGAAACCATCAGGGAGCAGGTTTGACGAGACGGGGGCAGGGCGTGCGGGAAGTGAATCTTCGACAGAGACAACAGGTTAGTGTTTTCAAAATAAAACAGGAAGGACAAGAAATAAAATGTGCAAACATAAAGCAGAAACTTGACGGACATGACAACAACAGACTGTCAGCACTGTCTATAAGCTACTGTACATACTTGTTATGTCTCTTTTTATGAAAGGCAGGAAAGTCAGTGTTTCCTAAACTATTATTCAAATGCAAATATTGATGCTGGGCTCTGGCTGCTAAAACATTCTCCCTCGTGGCAATAGACTGACTGAGACATCTGACTCTGAAATGCCAAAGTACGATGGACGTGAATGGAATTTAGTTTGTGGCAAGACATTCAAAAAACATTCAAAAAACTCAGCTGCGACATAAGAAACAGAGCAGATAATGTTTGGTCATATGAAAACACCCTTCTGAGCTCAGCATAGAACAACCAAATAAAAACAGGCAACTTTAACGTTTTTTTAACTGACTTTAAAGACAGAAACTTACATAAAATATTGAACTACGACAACGATAAATGGCCTGCTTTGACAACAATAAAGCGTTTTCCTCCTGTATAAAACCTATATAATCCCATTCATGTTTTCATTGTTGTCAGGCAGCAGAATGCAGCAAGCCAACCACGGAGCACCATTACAACAATGGATATAATCTCAAGCTTTCTGTTGTCCCGTTAAGCCTCTGCAGTCTAATTTCATCCCCCTCCGTCCTCCACACAGCGTCAGGACATCCAGGGGAGCCCGGCAGCACCTGGTATGTCTGAACTGGAAACCTGATCGTCGGCAGGTACAAGAATAGCTCAACTGGACCTTAAAGGCCGCTCGACTGACCTGCTCTGAACTGTCATTGAACTTCCAAGGACAAAACCTGCTCAGTGCACGTGAGCGTGAAAGGTCCTGATGCTTTAATGATGAATTGTTTAAACGCACACATTAATTTGGAGATATTGGACGTGGCGGGTAAACAAACAGGGTCGACACCGGGGAGGTAAACAGCTTCTGCAGTGCATTTTAAATTGTGTTTAACCACTTTAAAGTCTGTGCAGAAATCAACAAAGACAAATAAAATTTTCTTTCAGTGTAAATGGCGATGAAAGAATATTTAAGTTTAAACAAGTGACAACCAAGAAAAACCAATAAAATGAGGCGATGTATCGGAATGAAACCACATGACTGTCGGGGGAAAAATACTGCTTTTCAATGAAAAAACCCATCTTTTAAGAATTATGCAAGATAAGTTTTTCAAAAATATTTCTTTATTTGTTAATTGTATTACTTTAATATAGAATTCACATCAGCGGTGGTGTAGTGGTGTCTTAGTTTAGCTCAGCTTAATCCCTCTGCAGCATCCTCGGACACAGAGGTGGATTTATGCTGCAGGTCACCACACATCTGTGTGTATGAGCGTTACATCTAGCCAATGTGCATATATTCACGTATTTTCCCTTGTCAGAATTTGAGGAAGCTTCTCTAAATCTGCACATATTTTGGAATAAACATTTTAGAACAAAAGTGTTCCATTGACCAAGTTTAATTTAGAAAACAGTAAATAATTATCCACATTCAAAACATACCACATGCATGAACTAAAAATATAAGGTCAGACATGTATTGTAGCTTAGACTTTATCACTTAACTGAATATGTAAAGAGACTCTAAAGAGACATCATACAACAGAGAGTCAGTGCGATACTGGACTCCAAAAGTATGACAACACTAAACACGTTGGGTTTCTCTACTCGCAGACGAGCTGTTTTTCTGTCGTCATAAGTGGGTGTTTGCTTTCTGGCTCCAATTACAATCTCAGCAGGTGAAGCAACAGACACACGCTGCCCTTTCACATACAAAGCAAAAGGAAACACCTGTGCAGCAATTCCAACATGTCAGTCAGTTCTTAACTTACTTCTGCATATCGACAAACACTGGAAGCTTGGAACTAAAATGACTCAGACCTGTGTGTGGGTTTCTATTTTTGTTTCATGTTTATGTTGTAATCTAAAATATAAAAACTTCCATCCATTATCTATACACCGCTTAATCCTCATTAGGGTCGTGGGGGCTGGAGCCTATCCCAGCTGACACCCTGGACAGGTAACCAGTCTATCACAGGGCTACACTTAGAGACAGACAACCAAGCACACTCACATTCACACCTACGGACAATTTAGAATCACCAATTAACCTCAACATGTTTCTGGACTGTGTGGGAGGAAGCTGGAGAACCCGGAGAGAACCCACACTGCACGGAGAGAACATGCAAACTCCACGCAGAAAGATCCCGGTGCCCCTACCGGGATGCGAACCGGCGACCTTCTTGCTGCGAGGCAACAGTGCTACTGCGCCACCTTGCAGCCCAATATAAAAACTTAAAGTAGCTAAATTATAAAACCTTACTGAATGTGTAGGTGTGTATACTGAATAATGTAAAATCATTAAAGTCTAGTACCAAAGTACAGACTAAAGGTATTTGTGCTTTAGTGTTTTTCACTGATTAGTGGTGGAAGATGTACTTTGATCACTGACTCAAGTAAAAGTATCAGTGCTCATAGCGTAGAAATACGATGATACATGTAAAAGTCATGAATTCAAACATTTGCAAAAATAAAGTTTTGCAAGCAAAATAAGTTAAAGGTTTTGAATAATTACTTTATCACTAATTTCACCTGTCCAGGGTGTCTCCTGCCTTCGCCCTATGTCAGCTGGGATAGGCTCCAGCCCCCCCACGACCCTAGTGAGGATTAAGCGGAGTATTGATAATGGATGGATGGATATATATATACACACACACATATATATATATAAATGACTTATTTTAGGTGTTGTTGTTAGGCTCTATATTATATATAGCCATATATGTTTTGCTAATAACAGCAACTGCTAAACACTTTCTTCAGTGCTGGAGTGTAACTAAGTATATTTACTCAAATACTGCCTGAGGGACTCATTTGATGGACTTCACGATTTCAGTTTAATGCTACTTTATACTTCTACTCCACTGCATTACAGATTTAACTGGCAAAAATAATTTCCTTTTACTTTTTGGGCTAATTTGTTTGATTTCTTACTATTTTTAGGTGTTTTCTGGGAGGCTTTTCTGCCTTAATATTAAATTAAATGCAATGCAGGACTGTGGTATTAGTACTTTAGAAAACCTTCACTTTCATCACTCACTTTTTCTGTATTTGATGTCGGCTGTAATTGTCCTCTCTCTTCTGTTTCAGGTATTTTCTCGTTATTCCTTGACTAAAACCCATTTCTACATACCTTTATGACTCTTTACGCTGCATTTTTTTTCTCCTGCATTTCCACCTGTGGACAAACACCTTGCAGTTACATATCATACCGAGCAGTAAGGAGGAGCAGAGCCAGTGGCAGCACCGGGCCAGACCCTTCCTGCAGCAGCCGCTCAGCTCGCACTGAACTCGGCCATGTGCGGCCAGTAGGAGGGGCCATGTGCTGAGGTGTAACCAGAAGGTGATGCCGTAAACACCAGCCAGAGTGTCGCAAACCAGGTGTTTTTTTTTTTTTTTTTTTTACAGGGGGGAAGGTGATGTCGTAAAGGGGGAAGGGATGGGAGGGGTGAGGAGGGGTGAGGAGGAGGGAGAGACAGGAGGAGGAGGAGGAGGGAGGAGGTGACTCGCGAACGGCTGCGTTTCAGACTCAGCGAGAGGATCATGGCGGATGGCCCCAGGTGTAAGCGCAGAAAACAGGCGAACCCGAGGAGGAGCAGCGGTAAGTCCCAACTCCTTCGCGGCCGCCGCTGGGCGACCTGGGCCGGCCGCCGGCGAGCTTTCCACTCGGTGAACTTCTCGTGGGGACTTTTGTGAGCGAGTTGGAGCTCGTTTGTGGGAGTTTTGCGGTAGTGCGGTGTGCTGGTGTACCGTTATACCTGGCTGGCTCCTCTCTCTCCGCCTAGCGGTGCATGTTGGCCGCCGGAGTGAACCGTTATATCCGCCTGGTATAATAACCCGAGGAGCGACTAGTACTTGTGTGTATTCTCCACTTTCATACACTTTTTTTTGGTTTTTAGCCACTTTTTCCCACCGACAGTGACACTTGGCGCTGCGCTTTTTCGCTTAACAACGTGGCCCGCTGAGCGCAGCTTGTAGCTTCTAGTTTTGCTGGATGAAATTTTCAGGGCGAGGTTGTTGCGGGGTTTTAGTTTCGAGCTAACTTGCTGCTCAGTCGGCCCCGGACGAAGCTGCTCCTCGCTCCGGTTCACATTTACCCAACTTTGAGTGTCTGTTTAGTGAAATAGCGCCGTCACGATGAATGTATGGTGTTTTTTTGCATGGACTCTGGTCCCCTTCAGTGATGGCAAAGAGATGGGATGTTTATTTTATCTCCACTTCACCCCTCCCTCCTACAACTGCAGCAGCACATGCTCCCTTTAGTTAAGGTAAGAGTGGAAATTACCTTGTTCATTCTCTTAAAGTAGATTTGACGAGTTTGTGCACATGCATACGTGCGTTTCCTTATTACGCGCACCAGACTGCGTTTGGAAATGCGGCGTTTTTTGGTTATTCGGCGTGTGTTTTGTGTTGATTGTGTCGCAAAGTGCTCTTGTTGCACATTTTCGACTTTTGCCGTTTGCACCTGTGAATTCGGGTGTATGCACCGTTAACGATGCTGAACATTAACGTTGTTTTTAGTGCATTTTGGGGATATTTTGTAGTTTTTACGCATGGTTTTGGAGTTATTACGGACATTGGTGCACATTTGTGGTTAGTTGCAGCAATCCTCTAATATCTTATTGGTTTATGTGTATTATATCTTTACATAAATGACCTCGCAATGGGTCTTAGTGCGCTGGATTGTTTTTATTTTGAAGTAAATGATGCATAAATAGTATTTAGCTGGAAGTGGGTGTAATAACTTTAAATTTAGACAACCCTCCGCAGCCAGAGTCCCTCATTGGACGGTTTCTTACCTGTCCTCCCCCCCTCTCGCACCGCATCAACCAATAAAAAAAGTAAACCCATAAATATATATATTTCTGGACACGGTTATGAGGTATGATGTGTGCGGAGCCGAGGGGCTGGAAAGCACCTTTCTTTTTTTCCCTCTCCTCCTGCTGACGACACGACGGTGACTCTGTGCGTCTGTACAGGAGCCATCATCATCATCATCCTCATCATCATCATGTTTACCTGAACGCGGATAACGGAGGCTGACAAATGGCCTAGAAATAAACAGAAATAACACCTGCGGCTTTCCACCGTTTAACGGAACAGGATCTGCTCGCCGTTTCCTAAAGGCTGTGCGCGTCGTGAGGAGCCAGAAAAACCCGCTCCAAATGTCAACTTGTGCAGGTAGAAATGCTTCTTTTTTTTTTTTTCTCCCTCCCTCTCTCCCCCTCTTCCATGGATGCTCGCTTCCCTTCATTCTCGCGGGATTTATCGTTTCTGACCCACTTGTGCATGTTTTTATCTTTTTTGATGTGTTTTTTGTGAACCGGTCGCCTCGTTTGGTCGAGTGCACTCCGCAGCTCTCTGCACAAATAAGCGCTGCATACGGCGGTAATTCCTCCGTTATTTCCCCTCCAAACACCGTGTGCAATGAGAGTGCATTAAAGCGGCCACCGCCAAACCTCTCCTGTCCATCTATTGTGTGGAGATAATTCGTTATACAATTTCCAGAGCGGTGTGCGGAAGGGAATGGCGGTCAGTACCATTACTGCAGTGAAGGCGGGGTTGTGCTGCTTGCTTGCTTTTTTTTTTTTTTTTTTTTATCTGGACCGGAGACAGCCAGGTACGCAAGGTGATGCAACACCTATAAAGGTGTATTTTAACCCATTTTCGCGTCATTTTCTCGCCGCGTAAGGCGCAGTTTCTGAATGGGAACGTCCCCAGGTGCCTTATTTTTGTTGTAATTTACGGGAAATCCAACGTTAAACGAGGATATAATGCGAACAGGAACCGATCCGTGTAAAAAGGGGCGCACAATCAAGATGGCAAAAGGTGTTGTGATTCAGTGCGCAACGCTCCCATCTGCTCACCTGCATCTCCTTTTATTCTCAACCTGCCTCAGTCACAGCTTCTTCTTCTTCTTCTTTTTTTAAAAATCAATTTTAATTCACATGATACCGAATTTGAATTTCCAGAGAGCTCATGTACCAGACATCAGCCTGCGTTAATGTACCATGACCTCCAGCCAGACATCTCCATGATGAGGCCAACAGCTGCTATTACTGTCACAAAAGCTCTAATTTTGAGCTTGTAATCTTCCTACCAGCTCACATGATCACATTACTTAATGCTGCTCGCTTTGAGTGTGATAGATATTCACATTTATATCAATAAAATAATAGATAAACTAGTTACATCACATGCCAAACTAGATCTTCCAGGCAATGGTTCACTTTGCAAGTTACAGATGATTTTCTTGACTAGCTCATAGCGTCATTTTGCATCAGGTAATAGCATAAAATGTGCAAAAAAACATGAAAATCATCACATTTTACAATCTGGAGCTAGAGAATGTTTGCAGTTTTGCCAGTAAAATTACCCAATCCTCTGAATCATAAGCAGCTTTTATGTGTTTTTTGCATACTGTGGGCTCAGTTTTTGCTGCAATATAAAGTCCCACACCTCCATGGGAACAGCACAGCCATGCCTAGGAGGAGAGAGGACTAAAACAATGTCTTTTGGGCAGTATGGCTCTGTAAAAATGACATGCATCTTAAAAAAGAAAAAATGAAAGTAAAATTTCTTTGGCTATGTATTAAAAAAAATCTAAAAACCTGGAATCGACATATCAAACATATTTCCAAGTGCCCTCAGATGTTACCAGTACTGGGATAAAAAGGTAACTGCGTACTATTTACACTTTACTACTTAAATTTGTAATTTGTTTCCACAGTCCTTTCCTCCCTGCACGATGCATACACAACCTGCAGTTCAGCTGAAGAGTCTCTGAGTTTTTGCTACGTCACTGTTGGATGCAGCTGAGTCCCTCATGACTTCCTGGTTGCACCAAGGAATAGAGAACTAGTCTTTTTTTTACAGAATTAGTTTATTGCAGACAGTTATTTTTTTGGCATGTTTTTAAACGGGACATGTAGAATACAGCGAGTGACTACATTTCAGATTTTTACACTTACGTTTGAATAATTTTCACAGCTGAACTACACGTCACAAATGAGTAGTTCAAGGCCTGTTGGAAAGTAGAAAATCTGATGTTTTTTTTCTTTTTTTTACAGTTTCTGGCTTTAATAAATGGTGTCATTTTGGCACTTTCTAAAAAACAAAATGTATTTCAAACTTGCTGGCAGATTTTGGGGTTCAGAGGGTTAATCTACTAATAGACTATTAGAATGATTGCTTCATTAATTTTCGTCAACTCACTAATCGGTCACCAAAAACATTAATAGATCGCTATCAGACGGAGCAGGTCATCTGTCATTGATGTCGGTTTGAGGCAGAGTTAGCGCTGATGACAAATCTACTCCCAGACCGTGTAATTTAAGCTAATTATTGACTGTGCTTTTTTGCTATGGTGGCTTCTCTGAAGTTTAAACGAGTGACAAACACACCAGAGAAAGATGGATGCGAGCAACGGATCACATTTTGATTTATCCTTGATTCATTTCTTATGCATGAGCAACGCTGGCAGTCAGGTTCATCCATCTCCTCATGCTTTGTCTGAAAAGTCATATTCTGAAGTTGTGACTATAATAAGCCACATCAGAGTTTGCTTGAAAGCAGACCGGGACTGTTTTCAAGTGTCTCTGTGCCACCAGACTTCAAATTGCATTGTTATTGGAAAGCTAAACAAACTTATAAAAGTTAGCAGAGAGCGGTCGTAGCTCTGCGTATCATTGATGTCTGGTAAAAAAGCCACGCAACAACCAGCTTTTTACCTCAATTAAACATTTACCAGACTTTATTATGCTCTTTAATATAATGTAGCAGCATGCAGAGTACATAAAACAGATATTCCAGGTTTTATAGACAGACATATTACATCAAATACAGCAGAGCAGATGGTAGGAAGTTGTTTTTGCTGATCTTCTGCGGCTCCACTGTAAATGGCAGGTGTCGGCCCTCCATGCGCTTTGCTGTTGTTGCCGCTTCGGTCACAGCTTCATCATCCATCCAATGCCTTTAGAGTTGCTCCGTGTTTGTCTGCGTACGAATGCATTCTCAGCTGGACTGTAATCTAACACTGCAATTTATGGACTACAGGAATGCAGCCTGGTGTTAACATACCTTGACAGGATAAACACAGCGGCCTACTCCCAGGCTCTGGACCCGGCTCATACCTACGAGCCCAGCCGGGACTCTTGCCTTAGCCGGTGTCTGTCCTCTGGAAGTGAAAATTGTACTTGGAGTGGGTGTTAATGGGGGGTTGGTTTCGTTTAGGTTCCCTTTTGGGTTCTAGAGTTGCTGCTGTGCTAAAAATGTTGCTCAGTTTCGTGTTTTATTATAATCCTCGGGCCTGTTTGAATAGCAGATGTGCATTTGGTGAAATTAAATGAAGAAGCATTTTTTTTTTAGCTGCTGTTTAATATCAGTTACATCAGGTCAGACATACGTTGATATGAAAGTGTTTACTCTTTGATCGGCCTGCTGTTGTTTCTGGCAGTTTCTCCATGTCTGCACAGTCGGTCTCTTGCATGCTGTACCAGCAAGCTTTGCATCATCTTTTTAGGACCACAACCCTCTCTTTAACTCCTACTTCAGATCAGTGCATTACAGTTCACTCTGCAGGACTGTGTTTTGTTGTAATAC